GTTCTGCTCCCCCCAGAAGCGGCGCAGGCCCACCCTGGGTGTGCAGCTGGATGACAAACGCAAGGAGATGCTGAAGCGGCACCCGCTGTCTGTCACCATCGACCTGAAGTGCAAAGGTAAACTGGTGCTGGTGGCCCTGGGCACAGAGCGGTGCGAGAGCAGGTCAAGGAGCAACCTGCCACAGCTCAGTGCTGGAAGGGTCCTGACAGGTCTGCAGAGAGCAGCTGTTCCTTGCTGTCTTAGCAGGGCAGCAGAAGAATGTGTGCCCCTTCCTACAGGAAGCTCTGAGTACAGAGTGCTCCAAGCCAGAGCATGAAGCAATATTTCTCTTTCCTTCTGGCACAGATGAGAACGTGCTTCACCTGACCTTCTACTACTTGATGAACCTCAACATCATGACTGTGAAGACCAAGGTGACCACTGCTGCTGAGCTGGCGACTGCCATCAGTGCTGGGTGAGCAGAGCCCTGGGCTGTGTGTGGGTCCTGTGCTGTGCCCAGAGCTTGTCACAGTCACCCTGCCCTGATGTCCTGCCCAGCTCTGCCAGTAAGCACAGCGATGCAGCACCAGAGGTGTGGTGGTGATGTCCCTCTGCTGAGCTGTAGGCTAACAGCCTTCTGTGCCCTGTGAGTCCCAGCTCTGTGGGAGCTGTGGGTGAGGTTTTATCCTCAGTCCCTCTCTCCTCCTTACCAGGGGCATCATTGATATCTTTGTGCAGTTGTAGGGTCTGATTCCTGCTAGAACGGTAAGGAGGCCCTAAAGAGCCTCTGCACTTCTGTGAGTGCTTTCACCTTGCAGATCTGTCCTGCCCTGACGGTGTCCTCCCTGTCAGCAGCATGGCCTTTCTGGGAGTCCTGCCAAGCTGCTGCAGCTGCCAGCATCCTCCTCCTCTTCATCTGCCCCATCCCCCATGGCAAAATGGGGCAGGCTGGGAACCTCTTAGAGCTGGAGGGGAACCTCTCCTCCTTGTTGCCTTTGGTTGGCATCTTGCAGCCAAACTGCTTTCCTCCCTCCTGCAGCCGTTACCTGGCAGCTCCTTTCACCTGGTTGATCCGCAGGTCACCTTGCACTCAGTACCAGTGATGCAGCTTCCTTTCTGTGGGCTCCCCAGGGACTGCTGAAGCTTGATCTGTGTGAGGACTGGCAGTGGCAGCTTTGGGAGCTTGCCCAGGGAGCTCAGGTCAGCTGCAAACTCTCCCAGGCTGGAAGGTGGCTGAGGAAGAGGGAGGCAGGAGAAGGTGGCATGGAATACCCGAAAACAGACGCTGCCTCCCAGGCTGTTCCCATGAGGCCTCCCAGTCCTCCTGGGTTCTTTTTCCCTGTATGTACCCAAACCCCTCCATGCCAGGCCTTCCTGCTGGGATGAATCATGTAGAGGAGTCTCCTTAGCCCTGACTCGTTCCCTGGTGAGACCTGCAGGCAGGGTCCTTGCTTAGGAGATGCTGTGGTAGCAGGATGTCTCTTGAGTCTCCTGTGACCCAGCCTAGATCCCCCACAGCCCTTTGTGCTTCCTAGGGCTTGTGAGTGTGGTCAGACATGAAGAAATGTATTATTTTTTAGCAGAGGGATTTTACCTTAGCTTGTTGGCTGGCATGCCATGCAGACCATGCCCTCTGCATGCTATGATTTCTGCTTTTTCCATACCCAGATTGCCATCAGTAGGTTTCAGACTTTGTGCAGCGTGCCTATGAGCAGCTCCTGGGAACTCAGAGAGATGGTGCACTGTGATTTCCAGTTTCTTTACAACCAGGGAGGAGACAGATTTTCAAGAGCAGAACTATGGGAAGACCATTCTGGGTGTCATGAAACCCAGCTTGGGGGTCATCCATCCCCAGTCTCTGGGCTCGTAGTCTGTTAGCAGGTGCCCCAGAAAGACGTGAGGCCTGGGCTGCTGCATGATTCCTCTCTTCCTTCTCCTGCCAGCGACTTGCTCTCCCCAGACTCCCTCCTGAGCTGCCTGTATCCGGGAGACCATGGGAAGAAAACCCCCAATCCAGCCAACCAGTTCCAGTTTGACAAAGTGGGGTGAGTGGACCTCGTGCAGCCGGTGTCCTGCTAGTTGGCATTGGCTCGGGGTGGAAGAAGATGATGCCTGCTGCCTCACGGAGGAGGAAGTGCTCCGTGTGACCTTTCCTCTTTGTTCTTCAGCATCCTGACCTTGAGTGACTACGTGACAGAGCTGGGGCATCCCTATGTGTGGGTGCAGAAGCTGGGCGGCCTGCATTTCCCCAAGGATCAGCCTCAGGCACGTCTCACCCCTTCCCTCCCCTCCCCTCCCTGCCAGGACGTCGGGCTGAGCTGGCAGGGCTGCGGGGAGGCTTTGGGGACACTGGTGTCCCCTCCCTGGCAGGGTGCTGATGCTCTCTCCTCCCACAGCACACTGTCACTGCAGACAACTCGCTGAGCGCGAGCCACATGGAGATGACCATGAAGCTGCTGAGGACGAGGCTGCAATCCCGCCTGGCTCTCCACAAGCAGTTTGCTTCTCTTGGTGAGTGCCTGCGGAGGCTGTGCACTGGCTGGATCTTCTTGCACAGGAATGCTGCCTAGCCTGTGTCACTCTGAAGGGCTTTTATGGGTCTGCACTGCCACTGTCCCTCTGCTCTGTGGTGTCAGGGCTCTGAGGTTGCCATGTTTGTGGTGGGAGAAGGTGGCTGTGCCCCTCTCGATGCCCAGCATCCCTTTGGAGCCAGCCATCCTGGCTCTGGGGGTTTATTCAGGCTGTGGTGATAGGAAAACAGCGTGCCCAAGCACCCCTGGAGCAGACCAGGCACGTGCTGTGAGGTCCTGAGCGCCAGCAGAACTGCATTTGAGGCTGCTGCTGCTTTCTGGGTGCCTGGTGAAGTTGTCAGAAGGATAAAGAATATCCCCAGGTCCCAGTACTGCTGTCGCCCGTGGGGCAGGCAGAGAGCTCAGCCCCAGCCTGCCCCGCTCAGCCTTGTGCTTGCTTCCAGAGCATGGCGTGGTGCCGGTGTCCAGCGAGTGCCAGCATCTCTTCCCTACCAAGATCGTCTCCCGCCTGGTGAGGTGGGCTGCCATCCCCTTCGAGGATTACGCGGTAGGTGCTGAGTGTGAGCCTGGATCCCCTCCAGCTCCCATGCTGTGCCTTGCAGCTGCAGCTGCTCACTCCCTGTCATCTCCCTTTGCAGGAGCTGCCCTACACTAAAGACGTGGTGGAGGCTGGGCTGGCTGAAGACACCCATCTCTATTACATGGCCCTGATAGAGAGGGGAACAGGTCGGTGTGTTTCCTTCCCCCAGCGATGGCAAATAGCAGCAGCCTGAGTCCTCCACACGAGGGAGGGAGGCTCTGTGGGCTGTCGTCGATGTTTCTTCCTCGCCTCGCTCAGCCAAGCTCCAGGTCGCTGTGGTCCTGAATCCCGGTTACTCCGCGCTGCCACCCATCTTCAGCCTCTGCCTGAACTGGAAAGGAGAGCGAACCGGCAGCAACGATGACAACATTCGGGTAAGCGATCGGGGCAGCTCCCAGTGCTCCTGACCCCTTGGTAAGGGTTAGACTGGTGGCTGGGAAGAACAGAAAACCAAACTTGCAACGCATCTGCATCTGCCAGGCTATGGAGAGCGAAGTCAACGTGTGCTACAAGGAGCTGTGGGGACCCAAACCGGGCTACCAGCTCCTCACCAACCAGCTGCAGCGCCTCTGCATGGTGCTGGACGTCTACCTGGAGACGGAGCCCCACGACACCACTGTGGAGGGGCCCAAGGAGTTCCCCCAGGAGAAGATGTGCCTGCGCCTGGTCAGGTGAGAGCCTGGGGTTGTGCTGTCCCTGCAGGCAGTGAGCAGAGGGGGCTGAGATGCTGGTAGGGACCCTGCTGGCAGGCATTGCTGTCCAGGCACATGGTGACAGAAAGGCCTGTGAGGGTCAGCCCTGCACAGTCGAGCTGCACCCCGGGACCTGTCCCTTTCTGTGAGTGTGCTGAGCTTACCAGCACGTCGGGCTGCTGGGATGGGAGCAGACCCCTGTGGGCCAACCTGTCCCTCCTCTTCTCTTCTAGGGGCCCCATGCGCTTGAAGCCATTCAAGTTCAACTACCCTCAGGGATTCTTCAGCCACCGCTGAGTCCTGCTGGGCTCCCCTGCCTGGGCATTGCTTTGGGACCTAGCCTCATCCTGTCTGCAATGTTCCCTTCCTGTCATTTCAGTTTCTTTTATGACGTTTTGAGTCTCATTTGAGGTTTTGTAACTGAAGGGATTAAATGCTGAATTGGAAGAAGTGTGTGTGTGTGCAGATGGCTGCAGTGTGGGGACCTTGATCCTGGTGGTGGATCCCTTCCCTTCTGAGCTCTTCTGTGCTTCTGTGTCCCATGGGGGCTGGAACCAAGCCCTGCCCTCCCCGTTTGGGCCCTGCCTGCCTTCTTTCCTCCCTCCCACTGCAGGTCCTCGGTAACAGGAACTGAGCTGGCTAAAAATAGTCCTTCCTGCACTGCAGCCCCAGCTGACTCGGCACAAACCCCAGAGCACAGCGGCAGCTTGGAGCTCCGGGCTGGGCTGTGCCCCCCTCCATCCTGCACAGCTCCCTGCTGCAGCTCCTGTCAGAGCCGCGGCTCTGGGCTTCAACACTGGGGGCGCTTGGTGCCAAAGCGACTCTCTGGGAAAGGAAGGCTGGTGGAGCCTTTTCCCCTCCCCTGGAGGCACTACAGGTGTGGTGCTGCAGTGCAGGGCTGTGCTGCAGCACTTGGCTTAATCCAGGCACTGGCAGTCCTTGGGGAGCTGCCATTTAAAAAGAGAAGGAATTCCAGAATTGCCTTGGTGGAGCGTGGTGAGGACTGGCCCTGTTTCCATCCCTTGAGCTGGGCCTGCAGCCCTTCATGCCCGCCTGTGAGCTTTCCCTGCTGCAGGACTGCCCCATGCTTTGAAAAGCCCCGTGTCACCCTCTGTGTGTCCCAGCCCTGTGTGACAGTGCCCAGCAGCCCTGGCACAAGCCTTTCCTGCATCCCTTCACCTCCTCCCCTGAGCCGAGCAATGACAGTGAGAGCTGGTGTGTCTCTGTAAGCACTTTATTTGGTTATTGCACATAAGCAATTGACAGTGGGCTCGAGTTTCCTAGTGCACGTCGTATTTCCGTGGGCATTCCTGCAGTGCCTAACCTCTTCCCCAAAGCCAGCTACAGCTGGGGCCGCTACCCGGAGGGCCACTCATCACCCCAGCGAGGGAAGGACTCTGCCAGCCAGCCCACGGCACACCTCCCAAGCAGCTAGAGCTCTGAGTTGCACTTGTCCATCGATTGCACATACAATAAATAAATGCACTTATTGGAGAAGGGCAGTCGGTTCCCCCGGGGTCTGTTTTCCTCGTTAGAGCTCAAGTGTTAAATGTGGCGCTCTGCATGGATCACATTCTGCTACTGAAGCGATCGGAACATACCGCTGGCGTGGGGCAGCGAGGGGCTGTGTCTCTCACAAACATATTGCTAAGGTAAGGCCTGGCTGGGGGGGACCCGGGCTGGGGACCGTCCCCGTCTCACCCTTCGGAGGGGAGCGGAGCAGCTCCAGCTCCCGGAGGAGCTCCGCTCATTTCTTTCCTGCAGCGGGTGCCGGCTCTGGGGCTTTGCCCTCCTTGCTGGGGGGCTTCTCAGCTTTGGGGGGCTCTTTACTGGCTTTGGAGTCGTCTTTGGGTTTTGATTTGGGGTCTTCCACCTTCTTTGGTTCCTCCACCGTTTTCTTTGGTTCCTCTGCCTTTTCCTCAGCCTTAGGCTTCTCTGGCTCCTTCACAGCTGCTTTGCCAGCCTCCTGCTGAGGCTTTGGTTGAGCATCCTTCTCAGCTTTCCCTTCTTCTGCAGGTTTGGAGGCAGCCTTGCTCTCCTTCACCTGTGGGGCAGGAGGCCCGGCAGCTGCCTTCTCTTTGGGCTTCTCCTCTGCCTTGGCCGGGGCATCCTTCTTGGGAGCCTCATCCTTCCTGCCCTCCGCTGCAGGCTTGGGGGAAGCCTTCTCCTCCTTTGGCTGCTCTTCCTTTGCAGGGGCCTTGGGCTCCTTTGGAGGGGAGGGGACAGGCTCCTTGGCTGGGACCACTTCCTTCTGTGGGGACTTGGCTTCCTCCTTCTGTGGAGATTTGGCTTTTTCTGGGGACTTTACAGTCGGGGTCTTGGCCTCCTCCTTTGAGGGAGACACGGGTTTCTCTGGGGATTTGGCAGCTGGGGTCTTGGCCTCCTCTTTTGAAGGGGGTGTGGGTTTCTCTGGGGACTTGACTGCTGGGGTCTTGGCTTCCTCCTTTGAAGGGGTTGCAGGCTTTTCCGGAGACTTGACAGCCGGGGACTTGGCCTCCTCTTTTGAGGGGGTTGCAGGTTTCTCTGGGGACTTGACAGCTGGGCTCTTTGCCTCCTCCTTCAAGGGGCTTGGTGGCTTTTCTGGGGATTTAACAGATGGAGGCTTGACCTCCTCCTTTGTAGGGCTCGGTGGCTTTTCTGGGGACTTCACAGTCGGAGTCTTTGCCTCCTCTTTTAAGGGTGTTGCAGGTTTTTCTGGGGATTTGGCAGGTGGGCTCTTGGCCTCCTCCTTTGAGGGCACTGGGGGTTTTTCTGGGGATTTGACAGCTGGGGTTGTGGGTTTTTCTGGGGATTTGACAGCTGGGGTTGTGGGTTTCTCTGGGGACTTGGCAGGTGGGCTCTTGGCCTCCTCCTTTGAGGGGCTTGAAGGCTTTTCTGGAGACTTGACTGCTGGGGACTTGGCTTCTTCCTTTGAGGGGCTTGAGGGCTTTTCAGGGGATTTGACTGCTGGGGACTTGGCTTCCTCCTTTGTAGGGGACTCAGGTTTCTCTGGGGATTTGGCCTTATCTTTTGCAGGAGACTTGGCTTCTTCTTCACCCTCTGGTTTAGCTTTCTCCTCTTCCTTCTCCTCTTCAGCTTTCTCCTCTTCAGCTTCCTTCTCAGCCTCCTCCTCCTCAGTCACCTCCTCAGTCACTTGGATTTCCTCTGTCTGCTCCTCCACAATCACTGTCTCCTTCTCAGATTTCTCCACCACCTTGATTTTCTCCTCGCTCTTTACCTTGATGTTGGTGGCGATGCTGGGAGCCTTGGGGATCACTTCAGGGTAGGAGACCATTCCAAAGCCGGTCTCAATCCTATACTCCTCCCCTTCCAAGAGCTTTCTGCCAGGAGAAGACCAGAACTGGGCCATCAGCAGCTGCACTCACACCATGCAGCAACTTCTCCCTCCCTCCATCTGCATGCCATCACCCCATGAAGGCTTCCTCACCCTTCCCTCCACAATCCCTTCGCAGGGCTGGTATTGGAGGACTTACCGCTGTCTTACTAAGAAGGACTCCAGGTGTTAGCGAGGGCCTTCAAGAAATGTTCTCACAGATGCCAGCACTGGGGACTAGCCAAGACATGCACCCCCGTTCCCTTTGCCAACCCCATACCTATAGGCAGCAATTTCAATGTCCAGGGCCATTTTGACGTTGAGCAGATCCTGGTATTCGCGGAGCTGAGCTGCCATCTCCCACTTGGTGTTTCTCAGCTCATTGTCAAGCTGCTGGATGGTTTCCTGCAACAGACAGAGTCACCTGGTGCCATGCGGGGAGCAAAGGGGGAAAATGCTGGGGCTCTTTCAAGTTTGTCCTTGAGGGACAAACTTGCACCACTCCAAGGAGAGCTGCGGTGCTGCCAGCTGGCTTCTCTCGGGCAGTGGCAGCCAGGGGCAATGTATCTAGATCACTTGGTCTGCTGGTCACTGCAGTCATCCTACCCAGCCTGAGGTTGATGGGGTTGGAACATCTCCCCGGAGACAGGGTTTTAGTCTATAGCTACCACAGGGTACAGAAATCTGAGCTGCTGTTCCCAGTGCTGCGACATGACATGGTCTGAACCCTGGTCACTATTCAATGGCATTTGTGATCAATGTCATGGGCAGCAGACACAAGGGACAATTCCACTGCAGGTGCCAGACACAGCAGCCTGGATGCAGCCTTGGCTCTGGCTCTCTGAACATCAGGAGCTGGGGAAAGCTCAAATGTACTTGCTGCTGACATCAGCATCCCTGAAGCCCCAGCCCCAGCACTGCTCTTCCCTGACAGCTGGATGCTCCCTCTGCACCAAGTGACAGATTTGGGACTCTGCCCACTGCGCCACGCTACCTGATAGGAGAGGACATCTGCATGATGGCGTTCCTCTGAGTCCTGCCTCTGCCTCTCCAGTGACTCCTGTGTCCCTTTGAGGGCTTCGAGCTCAGTGGTCTTGGACTGGAGCTGACGGCGGTACTCAGAGATCTCCTCCTGAGCCACGCGCATGGCGTCTGTGTTCACCTTGGCAACTTCAGAGAGCTTGTCCAGCCTCACTGTAGCAAGGGAAAGGAAAAGCTGCAGGGACGGAGGGAGGCTGCAGCCTCCTTTTTATGTGGGATGGCAAATCCTTTAATACCACCACTCCCCTGCATGTGTGCCCTCTGCAGAGCGAACCCTGCAGGGTGTCCGTTCCCAGGCATGTGAAGACACCAGAGCAGGACAGGCTGGGCACTGCTTTTCTTCATCCTGGGCTTTTTGCAGCGCGAACAATTTCCCTGTTCCCTTGAGCTCCTGCCATCATCTTTTGCACTTAAAGAGCTGCTCCCCTCCCCAGCACACCTCCTCACCGTGCCACATACACCACCCAGAAGGGCAGTGGCGGGAAAGAATGAGGCAGAGATTGTCACAAGGGCTTTAGGGGACGGGGGGAGGTGGAACGCAGTGCCCCCCGCCCCGCAGAGCGCCGCGCTCGTGGCCACGGCGCTGCCGCTGTCCGCGGTGCTGAAGTGCCGCTGTCCGCGGTGCTGAAGCGCAGCTGCGCCGCTCCCCGGGCGCTGGTGCCGGGGCGATGGCAGCACAACGACGTGCGCCGACCCCCGGGGTGTCACCCCCCTCTTCCTCCCCCGGTACCGTAGTGCCCCTCCTAACAGCGCATGAGACACGCCCTATCCTCCCCGCAGGGGATGCGGCACCCTCTCCCTTCGCTGTGCTGCAATCCCCGCAACGCTTTTGGCCCCGCTCCAGCTGGACTCCCTGCAGCATCGGGGGGTGTCGGGAAAACCACCTCGCTGCCTTTCCCCCCAGAAATCCGCGGGGGTGGTGGTGCGTGCGGCGCCCCTGCAAACGGGCGGGTTGGTGTTACCCTCCCGCCCTCACGGAGCTCAGTGTACACGCCTGGGCGGGGGCACCGGCCATAACGCCCACCCGCAGCCCCGCAGGGTTCCCTCCAGGGGAAAAGAAGAACGACGGATCCCCTTCTCCCCGGTGTGTGCCCGCGTAGCATGCAGCGGGCTGGGTTATCACTCACCGCGGAACCACTCCTCGGCCTGCAGAGTGCTGCGTGCCGCCGTGCCCTCCAGCTGCTCCCGCAGGTCGCGCAGCGCTGCGGTGACCCCGGGCCGCAGCGAGGCGGGGGGCTCAGCGGGCAGCTCGGCGCGGGCACCGCGCAGCAGCGCGCCCACCTCGTCCTGGTGCTGTTTCCGCAGCAGCTCCGCTTCCTCCCGCAGCGCTCGGGCTCGCTCCGCCAGAGGCCCCCGGGCCCTTTCCTCCTGCGCAGAGCGCTGGGCCAGCCCGCGGGCCGCCGCCTCCAGCTCGGCGCGCTGTCGCGCCTCCTCCTCCAGCCTGCCCCGCAGCGCGGCCACGTCCTCTGCCAGGCGGGCCCTCTCCAGCCGCAGCTGCCCCTTCTCGGCCCCCAGGCGCACCAGGGCCCCCCGCATGTCGCGCAGCTCCCGGGCGTACAGCTCGCCCATGGCCGAGCGCCCCGCCTGCTGCTGCCGCAGCGCCGCCGCCTCTGCCGCCAGCGCCCGGTTCTGCTGCTCCAGCGCCCGCACCCGCTCGATATAACCGGCGAAGCGGTCGTTGAGGACCTGCAGCAGCTCCTTCTCGTTACGCGCCCGCGGTTCGCCGTTCAGCGAGTCCAGGCTCTCGGTGGAGGAAGCGGCCGCGCTTCCCCCGCCGCCGCCCCGCGCTCGCCCCGCCGGGCCCGGGGGTCCCGACCATGAGTGGAAGCCGCTGGAAGAGGTGGCGGAGCGCGGAGCGAGACGAGAGGGCTCCTTGCGGAGCCCCCCCGGGGGGACCAGCAACGCCTCCAGCACCAGGCTCATGGTGGCCCCCGCCCTCACTGCGGCACCTCTGCCGCCGCCGCCTGCTTTATAGGGGCCGTCGGGGCTGCCCCGCCTCTCCGCCGGCACGGGGACGGGGACGGGCACCGGCAGAGGCACCGCCCCGAGCCGCCGCCGCAGCCCCGAGGGCGTGGGGGGGGAGGAGGGTCCGGGGAGCGGCCCTCGGGTTGGAAGCGGGGAGCCCGGGGAAACAATGGGAATCCTGCGGGAGGGAGTGCGGCCGCCCCACAGGAGCATAGGCTCCTACGAGGCTTCATCTCTACTGCAGGTAGGGGTCGAGAACTTTTGGTGCTGGAGGATCTGCACTGCGATGGGGTCCCCATGTTTTGGGACAGGACCCTGGGCAGCACTGTGGGGTGTGGGGTGCATGGGGTTGTCCTCGGGTGAGCAGGGGGCAAGGAACCAGGATAGGAGCCCATCACCCTGCTCCTGCTTGTGTGAGGCAACTGGCACGTGGGACATCCATTGCTGGAGTCCGTGGAGCACCCAGCCTTGGCATCCGTGGTGCACCCAAAGCCAGCATCCATCGAGCTCACAACGCCAGTGCCCAGTGTCAGCACCCAGTGTCGGCATCCAAATGTACCCAACATCAGCACCCAACGTCTGCACTCACAGAGCACCCAATATCTGCATTCACGGAGCACCCAATGTCAGCACCCGTGGAGCACCCAGCGTTGGCATCCACATGCACCTAACGCCAGCACCCGCTGCCTGAACTACCCGAGATCTGTACCCAAAGAGCACCTAACATCTGCACTCATGGGGTGCCCCATGTCTGCACCCGTACGGAGCACCAATGCTGGCATCCATGTGCACCCGGTGCCACCCTGCGTGGGCACCCAGCCGGAACACACGCTTGGACCCCAGCAGGCAGAACCCACGGGGCGCCCACTGAACCAGCACCCACGGACCGCTCGATCTGGTGCCTCGCCGTCCCCTCGGCCAATCAGCACTCTCCGATCACCCCATCTCTGCGTCTCATGGCCAGCTGGCCAATCAGCGCAGCAGCATCCCAGCCAATCAGCACCCTGCCGGGGGGTCCCTGGGGGTGGGCTGGTGGAGGGGCCGCAGCCCCATTGCGCGCTGGGACGCTGAATGACATCCCGCTCTGCTGCACGCTGGGATGCGGGGTCCCCGTGTGCTGACCTTGACAGCCCGCTGTCCTGCGCATCCCATCCTCCCGACTCATCACTTTTTTTTCCGTTTTGTTTTTTTTTGTTGTTTTTTTTTTCCCCCCCACACTGCGTGGTGGCGAGGGTTGGAGCGTTGGCGCACGGAGCTGCTGCAGTGCCGGGCAGCAGTGGGATGCAGCCCTGCAGCGCAGCCAAATCCGCGGGGCCGCTCTGGAGTGGCCACGCAGCCGTCACTGCGCCGAAGGGCTGTGATGTGGCCCCAGTGCTGCTGGGGACACGGGGGCAGTGGATTCAGAAGGATGACACAGCGTGTGCTCCTGCACTTCGGCATCGCATCTCTCTGTCCCACGTCCTCCATCTACGTCCCCCTGCCCTCTCCCTTTTCCCCTCTGCTGTCGCCAAGCTCTGCCCCACCCCATCTCCCCCACATAGCCTCCCCATCTCCTGTTGCCACTCCCTGCCCTTGTTTCAACCCGTGTCCCTTTCCTGTCCTATCCCGTGTCCCTGTGCTTTGTCCCCATCTCCTGTCCTGTGCCCTTTCCCAGTCCAGTCCCTTCCCTTGTCCCAGTGGCTCTCCTACCCCTGAACCCTCTCCCCACCCTCTGCCTCCCCCATCCCATCCCTATCTCCTGCTCATACCCCATTTCCCCACTCCTGTCCCATCTGTCCCCATATCCTATCCCATCCCCTGCCCCCATCCCCTGTCCTACCCCATCCCCCATTTCCCCTCTCCCCATCCCATGCCCCCTGTCCCACTCCTATCCCCACTCCCCTATCCTAACCCCACTCCTTATCCCCCCATTCCCAACAGCTATCCCATCTCCCACCCCCACACCCTTTTCCCATCCTCATTCCTTCCTTTACCCCACTTCGTGTCCCCATCCCCTGTCCTCCGGCCATTTCCCATCTCCTGTCCCTTCTCCCACACTACACCCCTCCTCAGTCCCCAGTCCCAATATTACTCCGTATATGCAAGCCCCACCCCATGCCCCCATTCCATACCCCTATCCCATGCCCCCATTCCATACCCCTATCCCATACCCCTATCCCATGCCCCCATTCCCTATCCCCATCCCATGTCCCCATCCCCGCGTCCCCACGCGCTGTTCCCGCTCCATTCCCTCACTTGACCCCGCCCCCTTCTCTAAGCCCCGCCCACACACCCCACCCTCTCCCCAAATCCCCGCCCCGGAAGTGCTCACTCCTCACTTCCGCTGGGGCCAGGGGCAGCGGGCGGCGCGGCGGGCTGGTACGGGCGGGGGGGCGGCGGGGGCCGGGAGCGGGGAGTGGAGTTCCGCCATCGGAACCGGCGCTGTGCGCGGCTGTCTGGGGGCCTATCCGCGCTTCTACCGAGGGTATCGCCACGGGTTCTGCCCGACCTCGGCCCCCAACGGGGATCTGCGGTGGGGGGCGGTGAGGAACCGAGGGATCTGGGGGGGCAAAACGCTGACGTTTGGTGATTGGTTCCGCTGCATCTCCTGGCAGGGAACGCGGCGGCACCATGACGGACTCCAAGTATTTCACCACCACCAAGAAGGGTGAGGGGGGGCTGCGGCGGGGCACGGCGCTGGGTGGGGGTCCGGGGGAGGTGCTGCCCCGGGGGGCTGGGGGGGCTCACACACACACGGGGGTCGGGTCGGGGTCGGGCGGTGCCGTGTGGGTTCGGTGATCGCTGTGGGTCTTTTCTAGCAGCTGTGTGGGCCTGTGAGTGGAGATCTTCCACCCGGGCTGAATGGGGAGGGGTATTCGGCAGCCCCTGGTCCGCTGTGGACCTGCTTAGGATCTCCTTGCTGACCCCGTGCCTTTCCTGCAGGGGAGATCTTTGAGCTGAAGGCAGAGCTGAACAGTGACAAGAAGGAGAAGAAGAAGGAGGCGGTGAAGAAGGTGATCGCCTCCATGACTGTTGGCAAGGACGTCAGGTGTGTGCATCCTCCTGTCCCACAGACTGCAGTGCAGGCTCAGGAAGGAAAAGATCACCCTGGCAGCTCTTCTTCTCCCTTAGGTCTGTGCCTCGCAAGCTCACAAAGCTGCTTTTGCTCAGGGGCTGTGCTTCAGACACAGCAAAACCAGGCTCCTTAGGCCTGGATGTGAGCTTGCAAGCACAGGCTAGTTTTAGGATCACACAGCAGGGTTGTGGAGTCATCTGGGATGGGAAATACCTTCTAGGTTGCCAGCTTGGTCTGGGGAAGAGAAGGCTCCAAGAAGACCTCATTTCAGCTTTCAGTGCTTAAAGGCAACTCATGAAAGAACGAGAGAGTGACTTTTTACACCAATAGTGATAGAAGTGGGAATGGTTTTAAACTAAGAGAGAGGGAACTTAGGTTGGGTGGAAATTCTGTACTCAGAAGGTGGTGAGACTTTGGCTCTCTGTGGTGCCCTGTTCCGAGAGGTGCTCAAGGCCAGGCTGAATGGGGTTCAGTGGCTCTCCCAGGACAGGAGGGACACATGGCAGCATGGCATCATGTCTGTGTTAACGCTCCAGTCCCAGTCGCTTGCCCTGAGATCTATGGTGCTTCACATTGCAGCGCTCTCTTCCCGGATGTGGTGAACTGCATGCAGACGGACAACCTGGAGCTGAAGAAGCTGGTCTACCTCTACCTGATGAACTACGCCAAGAGCCAGCCTGACATGGCCATCATGGCTGTCAACACCTTTGTGAAGGTGAGGGAAAGGGGCTGTGAGGCAGCATTCCGGCCCCCTGTCACCAAAAAGCCCTCCCTCAACAAATCAGGGCTCCCCTTGCATGGGATAAGAGAGCAAAATTGCCCCGTAGTGCAGGAGGAAAATGTTTTTTGGTGGTGGTGGCTCCCGTGCTGGAGATGCTTGCTGCAGAGAATGTGATCTTGTGATCAGGAGCTGGGGACTGTGTTTGTTGGAAGCCACGGGGCCACCAAATCCTTTTGTGGAAAGGCTTTCCTGGAAGTTTTGGTGTTTTTAAGAGAAAAAACAACAGCAATAATAGTGATGGGTGCGTTCCCCATGCTGGGTGGCTGTTCTGTGGGCTGCTGGGTGGCTTGTGTCCCTGGTGCAAGCCGGGCACACGCCTGGTTCTGGGGTGTATTTGGAGCAGGAGCCGGCAGTGTTAGAATTCAGCGCACTCCACATGATGGAATGAGGCTGAACTCCTTCCATGGGAAGCACTCACTCCACTCGAGAGCTGAGTGTTAAAACCTCAGGGCTTCAGGAACCCGAAGGAAAGTCGAGGTCCTGAAGCTGCTGCTGGTGGCCGTGGCTGGAAGGGCTGGAGCTCTCACTGTCCTCTGTGGCCATGCAGGACTGTGAGGACCCCAACCCGCTGATCCGTGCCCTGGCCGTGCGGACCATGGGCTGCATCCGTGTGGACAAGATAACAGAGTACCTCTGTGAGCCCCTGCGCAAGTGCCTGAAGGATGAGGACCCGTATGTGCGCAAAACGGCGGCCGTCTGCGTGGCCAAGCTCCACGACATCAACGCCCAGCTGGTGGAGGACCAGGGCTTCCTGGACACCCTCAAGGACCTCATCTCGGACTCCAATCCCATGGTGATCAGACCTTGCTTTCCCTGTCTGGTGCAGCAGATGTCCTCGCTCATTTCTGCATCCCTGTATCCTTGCTCCCGCGATCCTCTTCATTTCTTGATGCTTTTTGGTGCTTGTCAGACCACTTTTGTAGGCAGCTGTCCCCAGGGTAGCTTCTCATGTTCAATAACTGTCTCCTGGCTCCTTTTAGATGTGAGATTTCATTAATTCCCATTTGCTATTAGCTTCTGCACCCTATGGGGAGCAGGAAGGGCATCAAACAGGAGTTGCTGGCTGGGAATGCTGCGATGCTGCGTGTCTGGCTTCTCACGCCAACTTGGAGTGATGTGATGATGGTGGTCCTCTGCTGTTTT